GTGCTTTATGAAATTCTTTTCGATAACAAAACACTAATAAGATGAACAATAATTTTGTTTTGTAGTAATATAGTTTAACTCCATTTGGAAGCGGTGATTTACGTCTTAAAATAGTATTATCAACGGTTCATTTCGGACACCGAAAAAATTATATCAAAAATCGGGAACTCCAACAGTTTATTAAAAAAAAAAAATCATGAACAAAAACTTAAACTAATTTATAAGACTAACGAAAAATCTTTGTCATCATTTAAGATGTGTACATAGAATGACCAACTATGATCGAAATTACAAACTCTAACTTTTGTTTTCCAATCCCATAATAAATCTTTTAACTATTATTGGACTACTATTAAAGTATTAATCGATTATGAATATTGAATAGTCAATTCTTGATAAAGTAAATAAATAAAGGAAATATTATCCCAATTGTCATTTTTCAAAAAGTATTTTTAAAATCTGCCATTTTTGAGATTTCCTTTCATCCAATGCCATTTTTTTNTNTTTTAGTGTATAAGCAAAATACATTTTTACCCCCACATCTCTTTTTCCACACATCATCTTTCTCTCTCTTTCTCAAATCTCTTTTTGACTCTCTTAATTTTTTTCACATCATTTTTGTCTTTTGTCTTTCACATCATTTTTTTCTCAAATCAAAAGACAGGAGAGAGATAGTTGTGGACAAAGACGGTGGTTATAGACAAAAACGACAGTGACTGGTGGTGGACATAAATACCACTTCTCTCTCTAGTTAAAATTGTCCACGTTCGTATTTTAAATGTCCACATGTAACACTTTTTGTATGTGTATGTACCTATTATTTATCGTCTACATGACTAAAACTAAATAATCGTTATGTCTTCTCTCGAAATAGAAATAGAAGAAGATCTCTACGTCCAAATATCTTTGTAGATAGAAGACATGACCGAGTGGACAACTTGTGAATGTATTGTTACGTGTGGACAATAAGTTGTCCATTAAAATCGGGAGAGAGACAGAGTTGTCCACTAAAATCGTGACAAAGAGAGATATGGAGTTGTCCACTAAAACTGTGACAGAGAGAGATAGAGAGTTGTCTACTAAAATCATTACATAGAGTTGTTCACTAAAATCGG